AAACAGCAAACTGAACAAAAGTGATAGTAATAACAATAATAATAAAACAATATATTACCTTTTTGATGGAGGGGTCGAGCCATTCATACCAGCGAGCCTTACACTGCTTAGCCGATTTGCGAACCAAGAGCGACGAGATTCGAGCCCACTGGTTCTTCCCGTATTTCATGACCGCCGCCTTGAGGATCTCATCCTCGGTGTTCTTCCACACACCTCCTTTGATCATAATCCTCATCTTGACCTAGTTTCTTTGATTCACACACTAATTGATACGATTGATAGAAAATCCTAGGGTTTTTCAATTACGACAAGACGAAGAAGAAGAATACTGGAAAAACCCTTCCTTGGGTTTAAGAATCGGTGATAATTGGATTTGATTAAACCCTAGCGCGCGCTTCCCTCCATTCTTCGTATTAAATCGGTGGCTAACTCTGTCCCAGTGTAAAATCTCAGCTTCTATAAATAGTACTTCTTTTTTCTTTTTTTGTTTGGGAGAGTAGTGTCCTTCTCTTCTGAGGGGATGATGTCCTCCTTTTATGAGGAGAGTATGCAAGTGGAGGCTGTCGTTTTGTTTAACCCAACCGACCCGACCCAGGCCCCAAAATATGGGCTTAACTATAGTTAGATCGTGTACAGGCTTGCCCAATCTTAAAAGTCGTTGGATGTGGATAAAACATCTCGTGTGTTGTTGTTTGTGTTTTATTTTTATATATACTCGATAATCTAAATTACTTAAAATTAATTTAATTTATGCGAAGGAAACTCGTATCTAGGTGCAAATGGTGGACTTACTGTCCTATCCAACTAGCCTAATCGGCATCTATCATTTGGCATGTCCTTTGAATCTTTGATCGCATGATTGAGAGTATTTGTTTCTGTTTTTTCTTTTCTTTTTTTATATATCAAGAATATTTGTTATGTTAATCTTCATAACACAAATGCCATTTTTCTTTGTAATGTATCTTTTTGAAAAGAAAGAAAAAAAGGAATTTTCATACAACGCAACACAAGATAAAACCGAATTCGAATAGCCTTCCTCTCAAAATTTCAACTTACAACATTGATTTCTCTTTTTTTTTTAAATTTGACAGCTAAATTGGTAGAGAATAGCATCAGTAGTTGGCTCATGATAGCCTGCTGCTGCCCGTCTCTCCGATTTACAAACATTTTTCATCACCTATAATATGATGCCAGAATGTAGAGCATGACTGCAGTTGCTGTGGTGATTATTAATTCCTGCATGCGCAGAAAGATTTTCACATATGGTTTATTAAAAAAATTTCCCAAGCGTACAACATTATACAATTTATTTGCCTTCGTTGAATGTACAACAAGGTCTATCAGATAAATGCAAAGATGTTTATACTAGCAATACCTGGTTATTGTAAAGAGCAGCAGGAATAAAGCTACCCGTAAACTCAATCAAATTCAGAAGACCGGTGTATCCCTGCAAGAAATTAACCAAGACTACTGGTGAAATTAACATAAACAAGAGGAATTGAAATTATAACATAACCAAATATTAAGATCGGGAGCCAAATTAAACAACCAGAACAGAACTTCAATCCCCTAAATTATACCCCTCCCTGTCAAACACTAGGGCACCAATAATTCAAACAGGATAATATACCAGAGAAGCAACAGCAATACAGCCAAACACTAGGGCAAGAGAACGAAGCAGCCGTTTTCCCATTTGCAGTCCTCTCCCTGCATCCTCACCGTCTTCCTGCATCAATAGCATAATTAGATCGAAAAGTAATTCAAAATAGTAAATACAGCTCATCATAAGTTCCTGAATATGGTTTCAAAAAATGAAAATAATGAGAGGCAATCTATGTTAAGCAATATGACTCACTGTATATGTTGGAGATACAGGTGGTTCAAAGGATTTCAACTTCTCAAAGATCCGATAAACAAATGCAAAAGTTAAAAACTGCAGGGGTTTATATTCAGCATTCCGCTTGATAAGAAGCCAAGCAATCTGCAAAAAGATGAGGGTACAAAAAATGGAAATCAAGTAGAATAAAAACAAAAGAAACATGAATGATTATTTTGCTGAAATATATAAGTTGTGCCAGGACCATATAATTCTGCCTGGCAAAAATTATCACACAAGTACAATGGCCATGCAAATCACACCACATGCACAGGGTAACCATCCCTTCTTAACTTGATATTTCATAACAAAATAAATGGTGTTTTGCTCAAACAAGCTGCCAAATAGGTATCGAATCCATGGGAGATTTGAACATGGAACCTACTCTAAACAAATTGGAGACTAATGCCAATAGACCAAATCGTCACTGGAACAACATATCACTTAATTGGAAACTCCAAAAAGGACAATTCTGGTTAGCTCTCAAAGATATCACTCATCCTCTCCACATAGGCTAAAATATCTATGTAATAGAAACTAGAAACCACAAAGGTATAACAAAATTAGAAGAAAACTGCATAAAGTAATCAAAGGTTCAAAACCTCGTGAAAGTCGGATGCCTTTGAGAATTGTTTCATAACCAATACCATCCACCAAAGAATATTTTCCAAAACAATAAAAGAAAAAGGATAAAGATAATCAACCATTCCTTCACTACTTACAAATACAGCAGATATTGCCAGGTTGATGCGCATATCTTGTACAGTAGACTTGGTGAACCTATAAACATATTAGAAGTCCATAGATTAGAACATACAGTGCCACCACTAGACTACTTATATCCTGTTAAAACAGTCAATACATCACACATGGAGAAAAGACATGAAAGCGGTTTCATATTTTAATTGAAAAATGGCATGCCGTAAGTCATGTTCACAAAAATGCCAATGCAGAATTAAAAAATATATTCTGAATAGTTATAGCATTGTCCATGTTGAGGGCTCATAAGAACAGCCAGCATTGTCATGAGATGACAAGTGAGTGGCATCATTGCCAGAGGTCCGCATGAGATTTACACTGCAAAAGTACCAGCCTCTAGCTAACGCATGGGTAACCTACTCTTTGCTTCATATAATAGAATGCATGCTTAACCAAGTATCAAAATCAGCAGCCACTAATATGCATCTTCTCAACAACACTATTTTCTATGCTACTAATTAGGAGTAACATGAGGCGTAGACAAACCTAGGCCCCCATGGTACAATTGGTTGCTTATCAGCATATTTTATGTCCTTTGAGACCTGCAATTTGAAAAAAATATAAGAGGAATCATCAGTACAAGGCAGAAGAAAAAAAGGATGATAATAAACTTTTCTTGTTATGTTGCAGCTGATAATTATTCAACCTGAAATTGGAATTATTGCAAAGATAAAATTGAGAAGAGCGTAACACCTTGATGGAAGAAAATTCAGAAAATAAAGTGTCACTGCATTTACCTTGAAGGAACCAAACGTCACACCTTTCTTCCTATTACTTAGCTGTGCCATCATGACTTTGTCATATGCTTTCTCCAGCTACAAAATGATTATGTAACCATAAGAATATCGTTCATGAGGTGGTTGCAACCAAATATTTTAAGAGAGAGAGAGAGAGAGAGTTGAAACCTACTCTGGCAGCAGTTGCTTCATCACCGCTCCTTACAGCCTCCTTGTGTTTTTTTGTATATGCTGCCTTGATCATGTCAAACCCCGCAATGGGGCTCACACCGAGAACCTGGGGGATATTAGAAAACAAATAAATAAATAAAGTACAAATAAACGAGTACCCACTTATTCAGTCACTTGCAAGATCAATTTCAAGGGTTTATACTATTTACATACTGAATTTACCTCATATGGGTTTAAATCACTGTCTGGATTAGAACTTCCAGCTGCAGACGCAGCCGCACAAATTATCCTTGTATTCTGTGGAATTGTTCTAGAAATATGATAAGTTTAACACCCTGTTGCTAAAGTTATACATTGAAGGCATGAACAATAAGCTGAATAAAGTTGCTGTTGGATGATTGTAGTACACAACCCCATTAAATAAATAAAAACAACAACTAAGAATAAGTTTACATTTATGAAATTTCAAAAAAGTTCTATAATGCTCTGTAGCTCTACCCTTAGTTTCCCGCAGTTTCTCAACCAAACCTTACTACATACAGACTTAAACTTCTATGATTTCTTAACTATAACAATATCTACATAAAATTCGGCATTCGACCCTTGAAAAACTGAACGTTCTATTGACCAACTCTTATCTCAGTTTTCCGACCAACCAAACGCAGAGAAACGGCTCAAAAGAATGAAGAGGCATACAAAGGTTTCCAACAAAGTGATTAAATTAAATTACCTGAAGAAAGAAGGCTGGAACCTTAACTCTGGGACTTTAGGGCGGAAATTCCTCTGGGAAAACTGCAATTTGGGGCAGTGAAAAGCATGAGAAATTGCCAAAGCCATTTGCACTGTGGAAAATGAGCTTAGTTTGAATTTATGGGTTCAGGGTTTTATAGGGTTTTGAGCTTTGAGGTGTGAGAAAGATACAGAAGTATTACGGGAATGGGCTTGATAATGGGAGAAACTGGGTATTGGAATTGGAATTGGAATTGGAATTGCAATTTTCTGTTTGGATAACAGAGTTGGGAAATTAGGAGTCCTTGAACCAAAACGGCCCTTTTTCTTTCTTTTGTAAATTGTAATGTAAATTTTAACTTCTTCAATAACTCTGCATCAAAAAAACTTCTTCAGTAACTTTTTTTTTATTTTCGTTTTCCTATAGTACCCTTGTGTTTGTCCATGTTTTCAAGCCTACATACATGAATGCTAATGCTGGGTTTGAAAACTTTTATATATTTGGGGAGAATATAAATTATCTATTTTAAAATTCAAAATGAATTTTGCATTTATTTTTTATTAATTTTACAACCCTTTTAGCATCTGAATTTTTATCACATGCCTTGTTTTATTTTGCTCCATTTGAAATAATATAAATTTTTAGTTTCTTTTTGTCTCTTGTTTATTGTACAGTATTGCATTTCTCATTCATATATATATATATATAATTATTAATTAACACCACCTTCAAAAACTGAAACCAAGAATTCCAACTCTCCTCTGCTTTCTTTTGTGGGGTAAAAACAAAGAATTGAAGAAGAAAACTAGATTCCACTAAACTCCCACATGCAGTGGCAGACTGGCAGTGGTACTGTTGATGGCTCTCCAGCTTTCATAAAGAGGCTGTACCAAAAATCCATGTCTTCATGGGTCTTGGAACCTTCCCTTTTCATGATTTGCACTGCGGTAGAGTTAGAAGAAGAAGAGAAAGGAGGCTCAAGTCCCGGATCTGCATTAATAATATTTGGACTACTACATGTCGTTTTTGACAACAACTTGTTATGAAGATCATCGTCAAGTCTAAAAAAGGTTGTTGGTGCATATTGGATAGGACATTGAATTCTTTGGAGGGGGGCTGCTGCAGGTACTTGACGTTCTTGTTCAACTCTCTTCTTCAAGTGAGAGTGCCAGAAATTCTTTATTTCATTGTCTGTCCGGCCTGGCAATCTTGATGCGATGGCAGACCATCTGTACGTAACAATTAAAACACTAAATGAGTTTCTACACAAAACCAAAACGCTTCTTGTTGTTGATGTTCCTATAATAACACTCTTGTTTCTTCGATCCAATCCAATGATTCCCGGGAAAAAGTAATTACTTTGGATGCTCAACTTAGGCATATTATTAAGCATAAAATCTTCTGCAGCAAATATATGTATACACAAAACATAGGAGCTCCATCTCAGAGTAGCAAACAGATTACACTGTCTGAAAATTCTAGTATATTATCATGTATATAACTAGTCCATTTCATAACTTGTGTGTCTGTGACAGAGCCTAGCTAGAGGAAAATTAATTAAGTGGTCAATAATGTTTGATATCATATATCAACTTTTTGGAGCTAGCTAATGATAATTATAATGTTCACTACATGATGTATATAAAATATATCGAATTAATAATGAAGCAGATAATAAGAGATGATGATGAGTAGTGTACGCTCCTATTTCCTAGAAGTTTATGCAGCTCGAGGATGGTTTCTTCTTCTTCCTTGCTAAAGTTTCCCCTTTTAATGTCTGGCCGCAAGTAGTTAAACCACCGAAGTCTGCAACTCTTTCCACACCTCGACAGACCTATATATATATATATATATTGTTTATATAAAAAAAAAAAATCATATATATTAATTAGTAGATAATTTATACTGACCAGCTTGTTTTGGAAGCGCTCTCCAATTAGAATGGCCATGTTGTCGGATGTAAGAAATCAATGTCTCGTCTTCTTCAGGCGTCCATGGTCCCTTCTTTAGCCCCATCTTCTCACAACAAGGAGCCCTCACCATTTTTCTCATCAAATAGTTAACCAGCTACTAGCTAGCCAGTCCAATATATATAACCCTGGTTTTAGGTTAATTTCCTCTCCTCAGACGCAACGCATGCACCACTAGAACACTAGAATAATAATAAATAAATAGTTGAAGAGATGCCATGGATATCATCGTTGATCACTAAAGGAAGAACAATTCCACTGTAACTTTTATTGTTGAATTTAAAGCAAATGACGAATTCATTTCGTCGAGTACCATTGTTCCTCTCGTCTTGGTTTGAGTTGGAAAAGTTAGAAAAACACTTGTTGGTGTCTAATGGTCAAATATAACATGCGCCACTAGCGATCATCCAAAGCCGCCCTGCTTTGCAAGCAATATCTCGACATATATATATATGGGGACAGAAGACAAAAACATGCACGTTTTGTTTATTTATTATGCAGCCGCAGCACAGCGTGAAATGAATTGTATTTCATAGATATTACTTATATGAAACCATGGCAGAGCATATACATATCTGCAGAGAAGTGAACAGTCGTGCATGCATCACTGGGTTGAACTTAATCTCCAAAAAGAAGCAGCCATTCTTCTTATTAAACTAATTAATCCATCGGTCTTCAAACCAAGTGTGCATTTTTATTAGAGAGCAGCATTTTCTTTTGGGACACTGCCTTCTTACACATGCTTTAATGCTTAGGTCAAGCAAACAATCATAGCTCAGATCTTGACTATGCTTGGGGCAAGAGATCTGCAATTATTCTTGTTCAGAAAAGTCTATGTAGAACCTCTGCTTTTACCGACACAGGATTTTTTGCCACATGAACTAAACTCATGCGTTAATTGAATTTAATTCAACCGAGGCTTAAGCTAAAAGCTGATTTGGGGGAGAAACACCTCCCAGGCGCTTTAAATGATTTTAAGTGACTCTGTGGAGAAATATTTCTCATGTGCTTCTTTATAGTTTGAAAGTGATTCTGGAAGGACCATAATCACTTATGTGGAGAAATACCTTCCACTTGCTTCTCAATATAATCACTTTAAGTGATTTCAAGCGATGTGCTTTTCCCCAAAATCACTTCAAAACACTTACAGTGGTTATTGGCCGATCCATAATCAGTGATTATATAAAGAAGTGATTCTCTATGAAAGTGATTATTGGCCTATCCAGAATTACTCACAAATGAGCCTAACTAATTATTTCATAGCTTGTTCATCAAATCCAAACTTTTATTGAATATCAAACCAGCCCAGCCCAGCATCGCCTAAGTGGACCGGGTTTTATAGATATTGACGTTGGAAACAATAGCTCAGCCCAGCCCAGCTGTTCCGGCATGTCCTAATTGGAGCCGTAGACCCACATAAGTGGTGAGGTGAAAGCCCAGAGGTCGCCGATCAATCAAATATATTTATAAACTTCATGATTAAGAAAGAATGACCTCACTTATTATAATAATAATATAGTATTAGTAATTAGGACCCAAATGACATATGAAGCTAATATAATAATAATAAAAGAATGCATGCTGTCTCTGCTTGCTTACATCAGAATCTAAATAATTGAATTGATCAATTTAGCTAACGTGGAGCATTTTTCCAAAAATAAAAATAATGAAACCTCGGAAGATTATTGATGAACATAAGATAATGACATGCTTAACGTGATGCATGACGTTTGCTCCCAAATTTTGGTGATGCGTGACGACATCCAATTATCCAAAGTGGCATGCGCTATGTTATGAACTATAGTGATTGTATTATTCCCATCCATTCAATTATCCAGATTGAAAGGATAGTGTGGCTGATCAAACAGCTGAGTTAATAATGGAGAAGAGAAACATGCTTTTCTTAGAAAAAAAAACGAGTTGGAGATTTTACATTAGCTACAAAGATAGACAAAAAAGTTAATAATGGACTAGTCACTTCTCATATGAGTCATGTCACCAATGATCAAACATTATTATATTTTATTAATTATTAAAAGATTCCATATAATCAGGTTGGAATTCCCCCACCACCACAAAGAAAAGGTTGGATTCTCTTATTTGAAAAGGATAATTTGCATCGTTTAGTGAGCTTAAAATCAAAACTAATGCCAAAATTTCTTAATCGAAACAAACACGTGTTTAAAGTGATTGTATTTTAACTTTATCTTTAGGTTGCGTTTGGTTTATGAAAAAGGAGACTTTGGCAAGTCATTCATTCCCAAATGAAGTGAAACTTTAACTAAAGCCGCTAATTAATTAATTAACTTGAAGAATCATATCTCAAAAGCGTTGCTCCTATTTTGCAAATTGCAATGCGTTAAACTGCTCTCAATGTCAATTGTCATCGCAACCTTATTTTCATAATTAAATATAGTTGTTAATTAAGAAAAAAGGAGAAGGACCTTTATCCTTGGGGTGCATTTTTGCTCACCACTTTAATTATAGGTGTACCCTCACCACAATCCTCAATACTTGACACGTATCCATAGACATAATCATGATTCCATAAATACAAAGCAAAAGTTAACTATGATTATGTCTATGGACATGTGTCAAGCATTGAGGATGATGGTGAGGATACACCTATAATTAAAGTGGTGAGCAAAAATGCTCTCTTATCCTTATCTTCTTCTAGCCTCTAAAATAATTAAATAAACATGATCGGACCACGGCAGCCTCCACCTTCGCGGAGAAAGTGACAAGCACGGCATTAAAGTGAATGAAATGCTTAAATGCTGGACCAATTGCTTTTCTTTCTCACGATATGACTTGACGTTCCTTGATGCTGATTTTATAAGCTCAATCTGTAGCCTGTGCGTACGGAACAGTTTTCTCCTCTCAATCTTTTCCTTTTCTTATCTTTTAATTTTTTCTAGTTCCAGGTCCACGTGTTTCAAAAGGAGAAGATAAGTAGACAATCCTCAGCACAGATAAGGTAAGCCAAGGGGCTTACTATTCACTACAAACTCAGCTGTATAAATTATTCATTTGATACGATCTAAAAGTTTTTTCTTTTCTTTTCCGGAAAGAGACTAATTTGACAAATATTTATTTTTATAAATATATATTAGTACTTTTTATTATTATTTTGTAGTAAAGAAAATTCCACTACATTAAATAAATTGCCTTCTTTATTAAAAGTCACAATGTCTAATCATCCAAATGCTAACATACCAAACCAACATCTAAATTTTATGTGGAATTTGGTACATATAAATAATGACGCTCTTGAAACTTTGGAAGTTCTTCAATGTAGAATAGATCATGTTAATCTCTGTTGCCCAAACCCAAACTCAAATTTTGCATGCCAAATAAAATCATATTTATCTTCCATCTTCTCAATTTCATATATGTTAAATAGTTTTATGGTGTAGCGGTATTTCTCTATCTAAAATTAGAAAAGATGTATTGAGTTGGAATCCATTTCTCTCAATGATTAAAAAAACATACTAGAAACCCCCAAATTGCAATGACAATTATTTACCAAAAGAAATTTTGAATTTATAATTTTATTTTCTTAAAGGGGAAAACTGCTTGCCAAATGAGTCATATCCCAACTTCATAAACAAAAGAAACTTTAATTACTTGTTTATTTGACCCAAAAAAGAAGAAGATGGTCCATGTTTAATTCGACTAACGATTCTCGTTTTATCTCAATTAGTTTTATATTCTAATGAATAGTTAACAATCATTCACTCGCCGATAATATATATTTTTTAAGAAAACACAATAGTAGAAGTTGTTGTATGTGTACAATGGACATTCACTCAGTGTGCTTTGAAGTTTTAACTAGAAAAAATTCGTGGTAATTGTTATTAAAGTTGTTTCAAAATTCGTTTTTAGGAATATAGCCTTTTTTTTGGGTACTAGTTCTTGAAAGTTTTTGGAAAATGATTTTCCCGATTTGGGCTTTCCTCTCCGCACTCACTGAATTGGGCAGTTGTGTCTTTTTACACTAGTGTACCATTTCAAACCGAAACCGAAACCGAAACCCACTCGTACTGAAAACCCCGCAAAGTCCAACTGCACATATAAATTATTGATGAAACAAAACAACGACAGCCGTACAATTCCTCCAATACTCGTTTGAACCGTTTACTGGCGGTGTTACCCACCAACCGAATATTCCTCCCGAGTATTCCATTTGTTTTCTTCTATATAACCCAAACACCAAAACTTACGAGGACCCAAAAAACCTGCAACAACCAAAGAAACCCCAAAAAACCAAAATTCAGAGGCTCTCAGAAGAGAGAGCGAGAGAGAGACACAAACCAAAAACCACACACAACACAACCATCAACCTACAGAGCCCAAAATCCCCCCAAATGTATGACACATTGAAGGACGCCTACCAACTGTTTGAAGAAATCGGCCGCGGCCGATTCGGCACAATCATCCGAGCTTTCTGCCCCAACTCGGCCGAGTTCGTCGCCTGCAAAATCATCGACAAATCGGGCCTCACTGATGCCCAAGACCGCGCCTGCCTCGAGAAAGAGCCCAAGATCATGAGCCTTCTCGCTCCTCACCCCAACATTCTCAAGCTCTTCAACGTCTTCGAAACCGACGACTCTTTGGCCATGGTGCTCGAGCTCTGCGAACCCACTACTCTCTACGACCGGATCATCAAGCGCCCGCTCTCCGAACCCGAAGCCGCCTCCATCATCAAGCAGCTTCTCGAAGCGATTTCGCATTGCCACAGGGTCGGCGTCGTTCACAGGGACCTGAAGCCGGAGAACATTCTGTTCGACTCCAGGAACAATTTGAAGCTCGCTGACTTTGGGTCGGCGGAGTGGGTCAGTGAGGGAGGGTCCATGGAGGGCGTGGTGGGCACGCCATACTATGTTGCGCCGGAGGTGTTGATGGGAAGAGCGTACAATGAGAAGGTCGATGTTTGGAGCGCCGGCGTTATGCTGTACATAATGCTCGGTGGGATTCCGCCGTTTTACGGTGAGTCGGCTTCCGAGATTTTCGAGTCCGTTTTGAGAGGGAATTTGAGATTTCCTCCGAAAGTTTTCCGATCTGTGTCTCCGGCTGCCAAGGATCTGTTGAGGAAGATGATTTGCAGAGACGTTTCCAGGAGATTCTCTGCCGACCAGGCACTTAGTAAGTTTCATCCCCTCTTTCGGTGCAGTTGAAATATCTTCTCACTTTCTATTTGATTTGGGTAAAATATGGTTTTTGGGTATATTTATTTTTGTAGGATCTCACCTGACCTGAAAGACCTAAACTTTCTTTGATTTTGTAGTATCTTTGCACTGTTTTGCCTGTGAAATTTGTTTCCGAAAGTTACTCCTTGCCATGTTCAAAATTAGAAATTGTAGATTTTTCTTTTTAGGAAAGAAATGGAATTGTAGTATCATGTTGATCTTTTTGTCTTCTTCAATTCATGGGTTTTTTTATATTTTTGTTGTAGTTTTTGATTGATTACTAACAAAGTTGTGTTGTTTTGTTTGTGAAATTCCAGGGCACCCATGGATCTTAAGTGGTGGAGAAGCAAATCCAATAGACTGATCTGACTTGGTTCGAAGATATCATATAAAAGCGCACCAGTCAGAGCCAACCCAAGTACATATAACATATATCCCAAGTTCCCAACCATCTATGTGAATATAAGCGAGCCCACTTTCACTCTCTAAAAGCACAAAAACCCTGATGTAATGGATGGATCCAGAGACCCCCC